ACCTGCTAGAAAACAATGTGACAGTCTTGCCAAATAACTCCAGGGTCTTCATGAGTGGAGACTTGTCCCATGGGGATGCCTCCCTGGTTATCCTCAATGTGACAACCAGTGACCATGGTATTTATTTCTGTGCAGTTACACTTCCAGACGGGAAGGTGGTGACAGGGGATGGCACAAAGCTCAGGATCAGGAGGGCTCTGGGTAATATTTGATGTTTTTTACTTCTTTTCTCCTTGTTTTTCTTCCAAAGGTGGTCTGCATGCTTGCAGAAAGAGAGAATTTGGCTTGTTTGTCCTCTAGCAGTAAGGGCTTAGTGTCATGGAGTGTAATTGCTCTATAGCATTTCTCATTATTTTTGTAAGGCCAGCTATAAACAATCACATAGGTATTATTATAAGGAGGAGCATTTGCAACCAAAAAAAAGAAGGAATAATTTTATCCCTAAAATCAGTGAAACAGTCAGACAAATTCCCTTGTACTCACAGCTCTGGCAGAACCCCCATGAGTGACAGGTGTCAAGATACTATCTTAGGGAACAGCTCCAGACCTCTATTTCTTTTTTTTTTTTTTTTTTTGACATTATTTCTCTCGAACCCACTAACTTGCATAGTCATTCCTTAACTCTGGATAGTGCAAGTAATCCCGCAGTGAACATGAAGGTCATATTCTATAATTTCTGCTTAACTTCATTCACATTAAAATCAAAGTAGCATTACAAGTGCCATGCTATGTTTTCTTAGCCTCACAGATAGACACTAGGCGTACTAAGTAAAGAGATAAGTTGCTTTGCCTGTATCAGCTGGAAATGTCAAAGCAGATTTCCTTTTTTTGTAGGCTGAACACACTCCAGTCCCCAAAAGTCAACACATCAGAAGGGTTATTATCTTACTATCTAATTAACAAAAAATAGCACCTTCTGTGTCAAGAGTAAATAATGCTAGTGCCATTTCCCCCTTATTCATTACCAAAGCTTCTGGCTCACCAAGATTCTCTAAGCCTTTGCCCTTTTGAGCCTGAGTTACTAATTTTTATAAAACTACTCAGTTTAAACTGTAACACTAACAAGGCAAGAAAGCTGTAGGGGACAGAGGGGCTGCAGGGACTTGGTTGTGTGTCTAATAAGGTCTCCTGTTGGCTTGATCTCAGTCTCAGTAGCACAGGTTACTGTTGCAATATCTGCCCTCTAGCCAGGGCAGTTGCTTTTCTGTGTTCCTGAGACAATGAAATGTATCATTTCAGTACCATACCATCTCTGCCATGCAACAGTCACAAAGAGCAACCAGTCAAAGAAAGGACTTCAGTGGAGCTCTGTCCGCTCTCCAGTACTGTCTCCTTTGGAGGTAGCCAGGGACACTAACAGCTTTCTTGCAATTGTTAGTGTAATTTTTTTCCATTTGAAAATAAAACATGCAGGCATGAATCCCAGTAAATCAGGCAGCAGCACCTTTTGCCATCCAATATCGTCTAGCTGTTAAGGGAAATTGTTAGGGTGATAGGGCTGTCCTGTCTCTAAAGCCTCAGAAAGCATAGCAGCTTCCTACATAGAAGAATCAATAGCTCTGTAGTGCAATACGCTTTTTCCAGTGTAGAAACCCATTATTTCATGTCAGACAAGACATCAGCATAACTGATACCATAGTAAGTAGCTTCCTCTGCAGCCACCGCAGAATACGTGCTGGCTGCATTGGATATGCTTATCCAGACAACACTTCTGTTACACTCTATACCTTCCCTTCTCCCCCAGGCTTGTTTGGTATAGAAGAATCCATTGGAACGATCATTGGGGTTGTGGCAGCTGGCATTGGAGGCATAGTGGTTCTGGTCATTGTTTTAACCCCACGGCTGAGGAAGTGCATCCTCTGCATAAGACAAGACTCTCACCAAAGGTACCTTTATTTTAACTTAAAGAGGAACTAGACATTTAATTACCTCTGGTCAGACATGGGATCTGGTTCAGGAAATAAGCAGTCTGGATGAAACTCTAACAGGGCTGGTTCTGTATTCTACCTCTTTTCCAAACACTTCTTCATTTATGTTGGGTACAACTGCATGCATGGGCCTAATGAGTTACCTATAAACAAAATAATAGGATCTTCTTTAACTGCTACTTTTGACAAAGAGTTGTTCAATGAGATGATGCTGCTGCTTTTAACAAAGTTCTGGGACTCCTTCAGTTCTTCTAGGTTTATGCTGAAAGGTGGCTCTTTCTCCAACTACATGCTTGCATCAGTGTTCTTGTAATACCTGTGTACAGATGGTTTAAATGTATGTGTGAGGTGTGGTTTGTCAAGACCAGTAATATCTTTTATTATATCAGCTGATCAGGTTGGGAAGACTGGACGTTTTCATCACACATGACCCAAAGAAATGACCCAAGAAGATGCTGATGTACCTGTAAGCTCACCATTTTTTTTGCCAGTTCTGTCAAGTGGTCTAATGAGAGGAGACTGACACTGAAGGCTGGATTTTGAAACAAGCTTAGGTCCCATTTTGTGCAACCCGAGGTGTGGTGTGCGTTTCAGACCGAGCTCAGCTGACTTTTGCTTTCAGCGAGGCAACGTGTGATCTGCAACTCTTCTCTCGGCACGCAAAAATCTTGCTCGTC